AAATAAATAAGTGAAAATTACAGTCTACCAAAATTTTAAATTTTAAATTTTAAAATTAAGATTTACAATTTTTTTTTTCGAAAATCAAATGATAATTAAAATTTTAAATATTAACAATTATATTACACTATTATTATAAAATTAAATTAAATTAATTTATATACCCTACCCATTCACCCTATCTTGATTTCAAAACCTTAAGGGGCTGTTATCTTTGTGTTTTGAGTTTTGAATTCATTTTGGGTTTTAAGTTTTGTGTTTTTAGTATCAATTTTGAGATTATTGAAAATGTATTCTTTTTGGCATTTTGAAAACATCCAAAACGTGTTTTGAAAATTTTGATTTGATTATAACTGAAAACACCAAAAAACGACAAATTTGTCGTTTTAGGTTTTCTTTGTAAATTTTTAACTTATTTTCAAAAAGACGTTTTCACTGTTTTGAAAAATCGAAAACAGAAAACGACTTGAAAATGGTAAAGAGAACATGCCTTAAATCTTTCTCATTCTTCTCTTTCCCTCTCTCTAGTGGCAACACTCTTTCTCTCTCCCAATTTTCACACCAAGGACGAGTTATCCTCTTCTTTCTATTGCAGCAGCAACGTCGCGCTAGCATTTGCAGCAGTAGCCCCTATGTTCGAAACACTGCTTTCGCAATAACAGTTTTAGGCTGTTCGCCTTCTCAGGTGCATTAGAAATTATGTTTAGCTGTGTTTTGTGTTGGTGGTGATGGTGGTGGTGGTGGTGCCATGGTTATGGTGTTGGTGGCGACAGCGGTGGTGGAGGATCTAGCGATGGCAATGGTGGGTTTGTAGTTAAAAATTGTGGTTTGTTGGAGGTTGTGGTGGTGACGTGGTGGTGGTGGTGACGTGGCATTGCTATCAGTACGTGCCATGGTGGATTGGGATTGTGAGGGGTAGGTGATGGAATTAATAGTGTTTGTGACCAATAAATAATACGTGACTTATAACTTGTGACTAATAGATAATAAGTAACTAAAAATTTGATTTGTGATTTGTAATCGATAAATCAATTGTGACCTTTAAAATGTTTGATTTGTAACCAACAAATAAATTTTAGGGAAAATTGCAGTCACGGTATCAAACTTGTAAACAATTCGCACCCGGAGTCCAAATGGACGGTTTTCGTCCAATTGATCGTTAGTTGACCAAAAAAGTCAAAATTGACCAAATTCATTTAGGACAAAATGGTAATTTTGTATTTTATATTTAAAATGATTATAAAGAAAAGAAAAAGAAAAGAAATAAAAAAANATTATAAAGAAAAGAAAAAGAAAAGAAAAGAAAAGTAATAATAATAATAAAAAAAAACTACTATTCATCTTTGTCAACCTCTCTTCCACCCACCCCCACGACTCCTCCACCAACACCCCACCCCACTTCTTCTACACCCTACAGCCGGCGCCGGCGCCGGCGCCGCCATCTCCGTCACCCTACAGCCATCTCCGCCATCTTAGTAAATAAGTTATGAAAGGGATTAAAACTAGGAAAAATTTCGTATACAACCCAATAAAAAAAAAATCTAGATTTACTACTTGATCTTCTTTATTCTTAAATTACTTCATATTATAATTAAATATTTCAAAACAACTGAATTAACTTAATGACATTATTTTTGCTAACCGACTCCATTTAAAATAAAAAACAATCAAAACCCATTTATTGCAATTCCTCAAAATTCGGCCAACTAATATCATATTTAATACAGATTTAACTAATTTATGATTTTTGTTTTGTTGGTACATTCTACTATTTTATTACAATTGACTCGAAACTTTCATTCGATACATTCTGGTATTTAAGGAATTGTATAAAGATGCCATATAAATTGAAATATAGTGCCATGTCGAAAAAGAATATATGGAAGCCAACTCCGAATTTTCTAAGAGATAAAGGTAAGGTACCCTGTATTCATCTGCATCTGGTGTAACGCAATGCGAATGGTAACATGTTAGCACAATTTGTTACATATCATGGCTCACAAAACTAAAGCAAGGATGACACAATATGAATGGTAACATGTTAGCATGCTATAAATAAACTATATAGAAATTTGTGAGGTTATAATATATTATGAACAATATTATGTATCCATAAATTTCATTCCTCATCTCATTTACTTTTAAAAAAACCCAAATAAACTAATAAAACTTCAAACAACAAAACTTGCGTAGTGAATTTGGAATTTGGATAATAATTATATTGCACAGTGTAATTTTCACTTAAAAATAAATAGGCCACGAGAGGGATGAGAAAGGGACAGCCTGGCATGGTGGAGAAAATATTATTTTTATCATTTTATTTAATTGTTTATATATTTGTTTTTACTTTTTAAATATTATTTAAATCTAAACAAACAAAAAAAGTAAAAATAAAAGTTAGGGTGAGAGCATATGTTCCCGCCCGCGCTCTACTTCCGGTCGAGCGGGATAGAAAAATTTTACCATCCGATGATGGGAGTGTAAAATGCATAAAGATGAGGAATATTGAGAGGTAATATTCATTTTGTTTACTTCTATTTTCGCATTATTTTAGAATAATGTTATATAACACCAATTTATGTGACATCATGTGATAAGTTCAATTAAATGTAAAATTATGTGATTAATTTAAATATACATTTTATTTAATGACACTTAGTATCACCTAAACTGATATTGTTATTCTTATTTTATGGCTTTCGTGATTTTCTTAATATACGAACCGGCATGCCTATTGAATACACTTAACTCAATTCAAGTCACAACTCAAACTAAGATGAAGTCAAGAATTTACGAATAAACAATTTTACAAATGAAAAATGTCACTTGACCCTCGATACCATTAGTCGATAAGGTCACATCATTATCAACAGTTCTCGAATAACCAGTTTTATTCGACCATCAATTTAATGCCATAAGCACAAGACTACAAAATGCCCCTTCAAGAAACAACCTAAGAGAACATACTTGTTGAGTACCTAACAAAGATTCAATAATGGTCTAAATTCAATAAACATGTAGATAAATGGACAAAACAGTTTCACTGTCTCCTTTACACAAGTCCAGGCAGCAAAGGTATATATAACAAAGAAGAGAGAGACGAAAAATTTAGAAGTGAGGCAGTTTTACAGGCTTAAAAGAAGTAGTGGCAAACGAAACCTGCTTCTCTTTTCTTAGTATCTATATACATTGTAAGATAAATTATGAGAATTATTGCTCCAGAAAACCTATGCTTCAGTATCACAGCGAGAAAACAGATTTTGAATTCATAATATATTGGACATGCAATAAATCAAGCAGTCCATCGTCCTTCAGCAATTTCATTATGGATTAAATATCGAAAAGCTGAACTCTGCTCTAACCAGTATACGTACTTCTCAGGTCTAGTCTTGGCACAAATTCGAATTGCTTTCTGCTGAACTCCAGATAGACAGTCACTGACCATTTCCAAAAGCGCTGCAATGCTAATTGACATGCCCTTGGCATAATAGCAAAGAATTTTTGGCAGGTATATCTTTGTTTCTTTGTGAATGTAAACTGTAGCTTTTATGAACTCCTCCTTAGCGATTTTAAGATCATGAAATACATTGTTTGCCGTGTAAACCCGAACCTGCATCCAGTCAAGTCCAAATATAACTATAAGTTCACAAAGGAAAGGAAAAGGAGAATGACCTTTTCCAGAATGAAAAACTATAAGTAAATGTCTTACCGCAGGATCAGAGTCTGCCCCTGAACAAAGCGCAAAATGAACAAGCAATTCAGGGTATTCAATGGCATACGGATGTTTGCCACTCCCTGTCTTGAACTTTTTTCCAGGAGAGAGAAGCGTCTGAAGCCACTGCATTCATGCATTTTGTTTGTGTCAGTCAAGACACTAAATATGTAATAATGTGCAAAACAAAAAAATTCAGTCATGAAATCATCCAATTTAGTGCATTGATCAAAAGAATAAGACTACCGAACTTCAATGAACAGTCTTTATATGCTAAATTTATGCATGTGCAATTATTTATGTGAAGGCATATTAACCAACAGGTATATATACCGGTGCAGAATAGTGCGGTCGGATTCCCAAAATGGAGCTTTGTATGTCATAAGCATTTAGGCAATGTCCACCCACATTATAAGCTGCCTGAGAGAAAACTTTGCACTTGGAACAATCAGAACTACGTAATAAATCCACTACAAAGAGATTGAAGAAATAAGACTCATTGTTACCTTCATGATGGAAGTACTTTTTATGTAGTTTTGAGTCCCATATGCCAAATAAGCCTGCAAGAAAGATAAAATATTGCACAGGATAAATTTAGGTTTTGAGTTTATAGACTCGTATCCAGTAGGCTTTCGTAGTAACTAGATAGAAGTTTGCAAGCCATACATGCATCACCAAGGCATTGTGAATATTGATCCAAAAGGCAAGCTTCTCTTCCCGTCTCATCTTCTTCGGGTCGACCTTCTCAAGACCCTTAACTAGAGACCTGCACAGCTTTAGTTAAAAACAAATGGGAACTTACAGAAGGATAAAGATGATTTGTTACTAGAAAATGTTACTACTAACTATTTTCCTAATTATATATGGCCACTAGTTCATAGAGAAGATTGACTGATCTAGTTGAATGTATAACATTACTTATAATAAGAAAAAAATATTGGGGGATGAGAGAGACTTAGAGAGAGGTAAGCCCCAGCTCTTTCAACTAAAAGCATCTAAAGATGTATGGGCTTCTCTATACAGCTGCTATAATGTTCATGGATGAATATTAGCAAACGGTTGAAAGAACAATATTTCCAGTAGAATAAACATTTTGGAATGGTTGAATAAAATCTGAATTACAATATATGGGTAAATATTGACACCTGAATTTTTGTAGCATTGTAGCAGCATAATTGTAACTTTCATCATCTAAACATATCTTTCGGACTTCTATCATTGCAGCATATGGTCCATTCTCTTGTTTTAGGCCTTCAAAATCATAATGGTCTATAACTTCATCATTACATTGAGGACTCCAACTGCCAGAAAGATTTCTTGGAGAAAATGTGCTAGAGGAGCAGAATGATGAAGTCGAAGAAACTGAATAGCCCTTCTGAGTTGGTGTAGGATTGGCCAATTTACAGTAAATTGAAGATATGCATCTTATAATTTCCTCAGATAGTCTATCAGGATAATTGAGGGCATCGTCTATGCGAGAATTTCCGAGATGATACGCAAGGCTACGGTGTGGAGAGTAAACATTATTCTTCTCCTGCAATTGTTTATCACAGATACTGTCAGTCAATGAAAGCCTTCAGAAAAGAAAAAACATAACACGTGTTTTTGCAAGAAAATATGTGATTTTATAGGGTTAAAAACATTGTTAATAACTCAAATTATAGCACAAATTTCATGCTTTTCCTTGTTGAAGTTTGTGTTTGTTTCAGTTTGGTCACTCAGTTAGAATTTGTTAGTTTTTCTAACATAATTTTCCATGTGGAAGACATCCATGTAGATGCCACATCTATTGCTGTATTCCATGTCAGACATTTTGTCAGAAAAACTAAAGTACTTTAGATAAGTGACCAGCCTGAAACCAAAAACAAACTTCAGTTATCAGTTTGGAATAAAATAAGCTTCAGTGACTAGCACTAAATTTTGCTATCAGTTGACCGAGTAACAATGCTTTAAACCCAATTTTCAAGGGACGACTTAGAGTATTTGAGCAAGCAAAACGTATTTAAAACATATAAGGGGTGTGGTAAATTAACCCTTCTAGATGATGACTTTGGAGTAGCCATTGTCATCAGATCATTTGAGCGAGCTAAAGCACTCGAAGGGGAATTTTGACTTTGATTATCATTATAGCCTTCTAACATGCCGAGTTCCATTATCGGAGATGATTTTTCAGCCTTAACCTGTGGAGTTTCACTCATTTTCCGTAAATTTCCCTGCTTTCCCAATGTACATGGGAGTTGCCGCTGAAAAACAGTCCGATATAGAGAAAGAAGATAGCGTTCCAACTGCACGATTTCAAACTCAAGTGTGGCAATTTCATTCACCAGTTCTGCTGAGGACTGCAGTGGACATCCAAGTAACTAAATTAGGTCAGCTGAAGTGTGATAAATCAAAACAGAATAAAAAGAATTGCAGTCGAAGTGATGCTATCTGCAACATTATCCTAATTATCATGTTCACATATCAGTTGATAATATCCTTTAGATATTGATTGTACCAATACTTATGTTCATGTTCTAACAGTTATTTAATCTAAATATCATTCACTATAAAAGAATAACCATTTTTTAACTCGGGAAATTCAGAACCGAACGATTCTTACCAACTCCAACGCAAAAGTGGTTTATAGAAGTACTGAAGTACCAAATGAAAATTTAACAAAGCAATTGAAACTACATGATTCATGAACTAATGTTATCGCCATACACCATGTATTTCTACATTATGATGTCCCAAAATACCAAATTCATACACGAAATTTAAGAGTTGAAAAAAAGATGTACAATTCTATAACCTTAGATGTCAGCATGCTATCTGAAAGACTAGCAGCAACTGATTCAAAGCACTGTTCCTTCCTTGAGTCCCAGCAAATGGATGACTTATCAACGAATGTCCTCCCCAAGTGTCCAATCTGTGTCAGAAATAAACATAGCCCCCATTTGATCTACATTATTATCTCATTAAAATGAAAAATATGACTGTTATCAATCACATCAACATTTAAATTCTCTCTTTTGTGGCTGTCAATAACGGCTATATTTTTGGTTCTCATTCTACAATAATTTGGCTCAAACAGGGCCATAATATTGAATTATAATAGAGAAGCAATCATACTAACGAAACAGAAACTAATTTTCTGATTGTAAGTTTACAAATTCTTACAACAGCTAAATTCTGACTTTTTCTTAAGAGATGCCATAAATTATTTGGCACAGGAACAAAATTTATGAAATTCCCACCTGATTTCCAAAAAGTGGCAGCAATCAAAACCCTTGATATTCTGTTTTTGCGCCAAGGAACAATTTAATTATTTGATATCTGCACTATAAAGATATTTGTTTTTAAATATAAATTATAATCCTTTACTTTCAAAGTGCTAAACCTTAAATGCCGCTTAATCTATTTAAAGAATCTCCATAAAGTGGACAAATTTTAGTAAATATATTTCTTTGTTCCGTTTTTCAATACAAGCAACAAGCAAGAGAACATGGAAAATCCTGATTTCCTGGCAAAGAATATTAAGAACTAAGAGACAAATTGGCTGTTTAAATAAGTAAAAATCAAATCAAAGAGCGAGCTAATAGGGACAAAATACTCACTGGATTTAGATGGTGGGAAGGTCTAGGCGATACATTAAGCACATCATCCTTCGGCAGCTGACTGTTATAAGCCCTGCAAAAGTGTATCGCAGCATAAATCCTTTTCTGTCACTCGGATCATAGATTAGTTAATAAAAACAGAAAAAATGAATGAACATAAACTGTAGATTGATCATATAATAACAAAAATGAGCATAAACTGTCCAATTCGGATCTCACCTCTGTAAACTGTACTCAAGAGAACGTGGAGGCGGAGGAGAGGGCCACTCCATTTGCAGTGCTGTTGTACTATTTTCACACAACCCACCCATTATCACACCCTAAAAAAACAACAAAAATCATGCACCAGCAACACCGACAGTGTATTTGTACACTAGTAGTCGTACTATAATTGAGCAAATCACATTGCACTATGATCCCATTTCAACAATGAAGTAAAGAAGAGATTTATAATACTAAGATCAAAAAATCAGCCAACAAAACTCAAGGTAGAGGCAGTTTGTCTGAAATCTGCAGCAACAAAATCTCTAAAGGGGCAAATGCAATTAAATGCAGATAACCCACTACAAGAAATGGAGTGGGTGACCAGATAAACAATAAATGATACACAGATTCATTAAGTAAAGCTCTACCCATAAGCATAAATAATTAAAGGTTCATTAAAAAACAATGGCATCTATTGATAATCGAAATGGGTCAGACTCAACACTCAATAGCATTGAACTGTAAATATAAGAACAATAATTTGTAGTAATTATTAAAACTCATGGTGGGGAATGGGGATTTGATTGTTTATTATTTGTTTTTGTCGAGAAGGAATTGAATAAAATAGATACACAGTGGAAGAAGCAACAAACTTACTACAAAAAACCCAAAAAAGATTGATTAGGTGAGGGGTGGAAAGGGAAAGATTGAAAGAAGTAAAAGCAGTTATCAGAAAACATGATTATGACCTGCGGGTAAGGTGTCGTCCCGGTCTCCTCCACCTCCAATGTTTATTATATATATACATACACGCGTGCGTGTGTCTGCGTGTGTCATCATCCATGTACAACGGAACGGACAAGATGGAACGGGTATTTTTCGTTACGCCTACTCCTCAAAATCAACTATGCAAGTTATTATTTTATTGTTTAGTAGACGATTAAGTATATAATATTTGTACACGAAATCAAGGTATTTGATCGGATCTATAAGGTCAACACGTTCATGTTTACAAGTTTCTTACCGCGATTGTGATTTAGTCTATGTTCAGTAAGAATTAAAATCAGATTTTTAATAGATTTTGATAAAAATAATGAAACGTGTAAAAATTATGATCTCGTGAAATATGTAGTTAAAATTAATTGTTGACTTTAATTTAAATTAAAATCTTAATTGTAATCCCTACCAAACGGGGTTTAGTTATGTTTTCTTATTTCCTACTTTGAGGTATTATCGAAATTGATGTTACAACAAAAATATTTTATTCTAATTAACCTTGTCTACACGACCACATAAAGACTGGCATGCCTTTCTTGGTTGGACCAACCCAATCGATCGTTTCTAACAAGTCTTTTTTTCATTTTTAATGCTCCAGAAAACACATTTTGTTTTCCCTCCTTTATCGTCCCTTACTGCCTTCCTTAACAAACCCTCGAGCCTCATTTATGATCTCTCATGTCTAGCGTGAAAATAGTAAGGGCCTTGTATACACCAATCTAAAACACCAACTCGTGGCCTTTAAGAAAACGAAGGGCCCTCCTTCGCTGAGAGGACGATAAAAAAAAATCTCTGCAAAGGTGGGATCCAATTTAACACATACATTCAGTTAAAGAAGACAACCTTGGCTCTAATAACCTTAGGGCTGGACATGGTCCGGTTAGGTTCGGTTCGGTTCGATTCGATTTTGTCCAGAACCGAACCAAAATTTTCGAGTATTTAATAAATGAGATCGTTGGGTCCAAAATATAATTATGGAACCGTTCGGGTTCGGATTTAGATTCGGTTATGTTCGGTTCCGTATCATAATTATTTTTTTAACATTTACAGGAACTCTACATAAATATAACTAATGACTGTTCGATTCTATTCGGTTCCGTACCATAATAATTTTTTTAACATTTACAGCAACACTATATAAATATAACTAATGATTGTTCATTCGTAGTTTCGATGGGCAGTTGAAGAGGAAAAGTCGGACTCGGCAGTCGGCGGCTTCGATTTGGGCATGTAGATGTAGGTTTTCAATTTATCAAATGATTTGGAATTAGTGGACCTATGCTTAACGAATAAAAGTATGAAATTAGAAATGGAAGGATAAAAGCTTAAAAAGACCTAGATCTTGGGCTAACAATGAAATTAATAATTGGCCAAAAAATTGAATTTAGAAATTGGGTTGGGCTGAGCTAGCTAGACATGGATTTGGCTTGGGAGTTGGAGCATTAATCACTAAATTAGTTAATTTGCTAATTTATTTAGAAAAAATTTAAATAATTTAATATAAAAAATTAAAAAAATTATTTAAATTCGGTTCTTCAGTTCTTAGTTTAGAGCCGAGAACCGAACCAAACTCATCGGTTTTCGATTTAAATACCCGTTCGAGTATTTAACTTATGAAGAACCGTTCGGTTCGGTTCGGGAGTTTTGTCCAACCCTAAATGACCTCCTTCGTTATAGATACATGAGAATGTAAAAAAAAAATCAATTTGGATAGTCCTTTGTGGCGTTGATGGCGACTAGATCAACGTATTATTGTTTTAAAAGAAAGTCTCATCGAAGTTCACTATAAATCTTTAG